CTAATGTCCACTTCTGAACTTCCCCTGATGCAGCTCCATCCATCCATCCATCCATCCATCCATCTGGAGCCTCCCATGGGCACACAGGCATCCCATGACCCGCAATCATAGCCTCCCACTGCCCCATCCGGTGTGTGGTCCCATGGCCCTGATGGCCATGGGGACCACCCCGCTCTTACCACTTCCACGACCATCTCCTGGCGCAGGAACCTGCGGAGCGGGGCCTGGAGCTGTGGGGACAAGGAGGCTCGTGAACAGGGAGCCCCAGGAGGGGACCTTCGTGCGCTCTGTCCCTGGCCCTGCGGCCCCCCGGCTCAGAACTGGCACCCCAGCCCCTTCCCAAACCCCCAGGAGCCCACCAAGGCCAAGTGACGATGGGGAAAGCAGGACCTGGAGGAGAAAACAAGTGGCCCAGCCTGGGGTGACCCAGAAAGAGCAAAAATGGCTGCATTTTGGGGAGAAGGAAAGACCGACCCTGTGTAAGACCCCTGTACATACATCCTCCATCCCTTCAATGTGGGACTCGATCTCCTGCACGATCCGGGCATTCCTCTCCACCTCCTCCGCGCTCTTCATGCCCTTGTTGATCCTCTCGGCCACTTGCTTGATGTTGCGCTGGGCGTCGATGAGGAAAGGGTGGTCGGGGTGGTCCTCTGGCGTGTGTTTCAGCAGGTCCTACCACGGGGACACAGCCGGGATGTCACCACGGGCAAAGCCTGGGCATCGGTGATGCCATGACGTCCCCAAACAAAAGCCCCTACCGCGCTGCTCTGGCTGCTGGGGATGGAAACCAGCCCCATGCAGGAAAGGTTTTGCAAAGAAACAAAGCCTTGAGCTTTGGCCACCACCAGCGTGGTCTTTGCCACCTCTAAAGAGGCCACTAGCTCCTGAGAGCACATCATCACCTTGCACGGATGCCTGAAATTCATCCCTGGAAGTGTTCAAGGTGAGGTTGGATGGGGCTTTGAGCAACCTGATTTAGTGGAAGATGTCCCTGCCCATGGCAGTGGGTTGGACTAGATGATCTTTGAAGGTCCTTTCCCACCCAAACTATTCTGTGATTCTATGAAAGTGCATCCCCACCAGCCTCAGTGCCAGGGACAGTAACCCTGGCACGGGGAAACTGAGGCACAGAGGGGGTGGCAGTGCAACTGGTCCCAAAATGGTGCTGCATTGTCCAACCTCCCAGCTGAAAGGTAGAGGGGAAGGGGACCGCACACCCGTAGGGACATGCTGGGGGGGACAGCGGGGTCACAGTCCTCAGGGTGACCATCCCCAGGAGGGCAGAGCCGCGCGCATGCCCAGGGACACCAACTTTGTGTCAAGGGATGGGAAAAGGGGCCAGGAGAGATGTGAGACCCCTAAAAGCTCCCGTTACGTGGAGGTGAGGAGGAGCCGTGGTCTCACCCGCTCCCGGCATGGCACAGAGGCCCTCCTGCCGCCCGCACCCACCTTCACCAGCAGCTCGTATCGTGGGATCCTCTGCACCGGCTTGATCATCAGGTCGGACAGAGCCTGCTTCTCCTTGTTCTCCCGCATGCTTTGCTGCAAAAAAACGGTGGGGGACAAGGACGGGCCCATTAGGTGGGACACAGCAGGGACCCGGTGTGCCACCAGCCCAGGACCTGGAGCAACACCCGTTTGGGGTCAGGGTGACTCCTTTTTACACCATCCGGAGTGACTCCGGTTCATCCCAACCTGGCTTCTTTGCAATAAAACCAAGAAGAAGGTGGGGGGAAAAATCCCAGTCTGACCACAGGTGACCAGTTTACTCCCATTAATCCCCATATCGCCCCACCAGCAGCCTCGCAGGTGGCTTTGGACCTTGGCCAGCATCTATGGGGAGAAGAACCAGGACCCACCTCCAGGAACTTCATGAATGCCGGCCGGGCTTCCTTGGCGATCCTGACGGCATCCTTGGCATTAAGGAAGTTATCGATGTAGGCAGAGTAGATGTTCACCAGCACGTCCTTGGAGAACTGGGAGGGGAAAAAAGGTGGGAAAAAGGGGAGGTGGCTTTGGACCTTGGCCAGCATCTATGGGGAGAAGAACCAGGACCCACCTCCAGGAACTTCATGAATGCCGGCCGGGCTTCCTTGGCGATCCTGACGGCATCCTTGGCATTAAGGAAGTTATCGATGTAGGCAGAGTAGATGTTCACCAGCACGTCCTTGGAGAACTGGGAGGGGAAAAAAGGTGGGAAAAAGGGGATAGGTCCAGCATGGACCTCCCGGGCAAGCTTGGAAGAAGCTGCCCCAAGGGTTAATCCTGGCTCTGGGCTGGCGTGGGGAGGACTCGCCCGCCGCCCGCCCGCCC